TGTAAGTCCATGATGAATTCCAACCTGAAATCAATTAATAAATCTCTACAAGCCTCTACATTGAATATACCTCCTGTGTTGTAAAAAGACTAAACAATCTATTGCCTTGAAAATGCGAAGAGCGAAGTGTTAAGCAATTTGAAAACCTTGGTAATCAATCTACTAGGATTATGTCATTTAAAAGCAGAGTTATTTATGCATTCACAAACAGAAAAGTTATTCTGTTTTTTTATTCACAAATCGATAACCACTTGTAATTTGTTTCTATGTTTCAGTTTATTTTAACGAGTCTACTTAAGTTCTAATTTGTTTTATCCTAACACTTTTCATTAACTGTAGTGATAACCTATTAATTTAAACAAAGATATTATTTTTATTATTGATTTGCTTGTAATTGTTCTTCAATTTCAAAAGTTTTCTTTACAATTTAGAAACTCAGGAGATTAATATTTCCAAAGGCATGAAGTATGTATATTTCTGCTCTTCATCGGAATGAACTGTTACAGAGTAAACTGCATGAACAATTAGTAAGACTGGTAACCTTTGAATGAATAAAAACAACTTCTTCTTATTTATAAACTTGAACAGAGCAAATGCAAGTGTAGTATCTGTAAGAAGCTTTTAAGAAAGCGTCTCTCATCACAAATCTTTTAGGGACAACATGAGGCAGGATACTTAGGAAACTGCTACGAAATCGACCTAGTCGAAATGCATTCAGACACCTTGTGCACATTCGTGCAGAGGACTGAAAAACATTGATGCCTGGTTGCCCGAACCTCAGTATGTGGAGCAGGGTTTGAACACAACCCATTAGTTAGTAGTCCTCTCCCTGAACCAATGATCACCCACAGCCCAACGAGATCTGCTACGCTTGTTGTTTTTGTTCTGTTCAAGTTTAAAAATCAATTTACTAATTCTTTGGAATGAATTTCTTACTGCTTCTCGGCGAAACTTATATCCGAATTCTCATTCCAACAAAATCAAACTACACTAAATCCTCAATTAAGAAGAAACAGGATACTGAAAGCAATGAGATATCTAACTCAGTTACGTAATAGAACCTAATAGACTAAGTCCTACCTATATCGAAGATATGTTGACGATATCCTGATTATCTGCGAAAACTCAAGTCAGTCTACTCCAATTCTAAACCGATTGAACGAAGTACAAAACAGTATATCTTTAACATACGTAGGAGAGGAAGATGACTACTTGTCATTCTTGGATATATTAATTAGTCGGAGGTAGGATGGATCCATAAAACGATCTATCTACAGAAAACCTACATGGACAGGACAATATTTGAACCACCATAGCTTTTATCCGGTTCAGTACAAGCGAGCGTTAGTTAGGTGCTTATTCAGCAAATATATACAGATGATACTTTGGAAGACGAAAGAGGAACACTGAAGTATTGTTGGGAAATAACTATCCATCAAAATTTATTAGGCAGCTCAAAATAACCAGGGCGTCAAAACCCGAACGTCAGTTTGTCCCAAAGAAAGATTTCTTTACCAATCTTCCGTACAAAGGTGACTCTCACAGTGCAGTATTTAAACAGAGACTTGACGCTGCTGTTAAACGGACTTACTATGCAGCGAGGTTTCAATTAATAGAAACCACCAAGACCGTGTATTCTCTCAAACCCCTACAGCATGTGAACGACAATGCCACATCCCATTGCATCTACCAATTCAGATGTACGTTTGGTGACACATACATAGGGAGGACTCATAGATCTATGCAAGTAAGGGTCTTGGAATATATTCCAAAATGGCTTCAGAAGCAAATTAAATCACCTAGTCCCATAAACGTTGGTAGCAGACGCCCAAGTGCTTCGACTGCAAAACATATCGTTGAGACAGGTCACAAGATTGACGTGAATACTTGTTCTACAAGACGTATTGGGGACGGGTCCGTAAATTTGTTGAAGCCTTAGCTATTAGAAAGTTCAAACCACCTTTGTGTGTTCATAAACAAATTGTTGTCACATAAAATCTTCCTTGGTGAATTCAACTGTGAAAACCAAGTTTGATGTACTATTATTTTCGTTCTATTGATTTTCATTATTATTCACCTATTAATTCAGTCTTTCTACTTGACCTCTTTTCATTTTCTTACCCCTTATCTTCATGAATTTACAAATAAATACCTATGAAAAGTGGGTGTGTGACCAGATAGTTCGAAATGTGTTGCGCAAATACATCACACGGTCCAGACAATTTACGTCTTCTTATTGTTTTGTCGAAGTTTATAAAGGGAACTAATTATTTTCAAAGTCCTTCTAATTACAAACACCATTTCTCACCACAGAGAAGGGAAATAAATAAGGGTACAAAAAGTGGATCAAGCCACAACAATATACTGTTTAGTTGTTATGCTGATGTCAATTTCAAGTGATTTTTTCTACTAATTTCTACAAAAATTTTGAAATCACACATACAGAAGTAATCTAAAGAAGAGTGAAAAAGCTGTTGGGCATTTTATGCTATAAAACTGTAAAGCAGATACTCTCATAATCGAATTGGGCGAATAACAATGACTTCCTCTTCAAAAAAGAATTGACTTTTATTGCCTACCGAAAAGGATGATAAATAGGGAACCCTATTCTTTTTATGATTCAATAAATTTAAACTTCAAACATTAGGGACGAGGGATTTTCGATCCATAAAATAAAAGTACCATTACATCCTGATCCCAAAAACATTAGTTTGGATACAGTGTCACACTGTTTGCAAAATCTTTTAATTCGAATTTACATAGTGACGATATAATTTCTTAACAAGGTGATTGTTTGCAATTCAAGTGCTATCAACTTACGCCAAACAATGCTGGATATTGAGTGAATACTCAACATGAATAGTCATTTTTCTTAGCTTTCAGTACCAAGTTTAATTTAATTATTAGCGTGAGTAGTATTGACACATCTACTTGTCAACTGGTTTCTGTTCTTCATATCAGATATGCTTAGTTTATTTTATGCGATATTACGAAAAGTATCGACTTACTTCCAACATTATTCAGTTATCGTTTACTTGTTTAAAAAATTAACGTTGTGCTTACGATGTAAAAGGAAATGTCTTAGATTATGAAGATCCATATTAGAGGGGAAATTAACCGTACAGATTGTATGATTAAATTGCAAGAAAACAGTTTTATGGCAATATATTTTTACTGAGTATACTTGCTTACGAATAACATAGGCGAAAACAACGAAGAAATAACAAGAAACCCACATATTCTTCATTTTTCTTGCTAAATTACTCAAAATCTTGGCTTATTACTTACATCAGGATGATCTTCTGATTAAATGTGAGTTTAAACGCTACCTAAGTGAGTTCGCCAACGGATAATCATAATCAAAATGATTGATTCTTCCTTAGCTGCTTATTTAGTTCTAGTTAGTCATAAACCACTGACTTTCGTATTCCGTTTAAAACATCATAGTTATGCTACACAAAAATGTTATGACAATGCGGTAGACTTTATTAACACATTACGTGAGTTATTTTGTCAGAGGTAGGTTGCATCATTGTTTTGCTTAGAAATAAATTTCCAAGTGAGTAATTACCATTGTTTTTTTTTCGTTCTCATTCCTCATCTACTAAGGAAATTTTCAGCACAACTTGATTCTCGAAAAGCCATGTACTTGCAGAACAACAAGTTTTCTATTAAACTGAAAAACCTCATTCATACCTTAAACCCTAAGGCTGAAGATTGCACTTCGTTATACCTAGTTTAATTATGAAGTATTTAGACGATCACAATGATCATCAGATTATTCTATAATTTCGTGTTTCATACTTTCATGGTCATAGATATAATATAACAAAAGCTGCACAACTACCAAGCATATTCTTCCACAAAAACACTGACTACATAAGTGTCAAGGTGTTCGAGAAGCATTCACAGGTAGAATAATTATTATTACTTTTATTACTACTATTACTATTATTATTATTAATACACACACATATGTGTAGATTTTTTTCTCAACTAGATTTGGACATAAAATCAAGCTTTACTCTATTATATCTGTCTAAAAAGCTGACTTCATACACGCGTTCAGTCCAACTCTCATCATCCAGAATAAACCTGATAAGGTTATTAAAAGTGTACGCAAACACAAAGAATACTACCAGTATCTATCTATTAGTTTACATAGAAATGTAGGCAGGAGAAAATTGAAATCAAAGTACCGCATACTGCAGTTCACATAGTTGACTATACAATACTACAGCCACAGAATTAAACAAAAGATGATCCAATGAATTCATAGTTCTGATAGTTTTCCACCTGACAATAACCTGGAGTCTACGTATTCACTGTGATACATAATTCTACTTGCATGAGAGCATGTTCTTGCTTGAAATTAATGACTGTGGAAATCTCCAACTAAACTTAAAAACGAACAATGTGGGTTTCGAGTCGTTTTACAATCAGCTCAGATGATCTAATTTTAAATAAAATTGCTGCGAAAACAAGAGAAATTCAGCTGATATTTATCAACATATTTTTCCTTGCATTATCCATGATAGATCAAGCGCATGTTCAAGTACTGAGCATAATTATTTAAAATGGGAGACAAAGGGAGACAAATACAGTTTTGAATTCCAGCTCATGAAACTAGCTTCTTATAATTACTGGCAGTATTTATACGCTTTTGTACAAGAAAAATGTCCACTTTATACAGTTTAAAGTCATTATTAAGTAACACAAACACAGTAGTCGCTAAGCTTGTATTATAACTGGCCATGCAATTCCACGCATTTGACAGTTGCACATGCTAAATACAAAGATGTTCACTATAGTCTTCTTTGAAAGTCTAGTACTAATCTTAGCAATCACTACTGATTCAAACCTCCTGGCAACGCTAAACCAGTTAAATTAGTTTCCAAGACTAAATAAATACTTATACTACAACGAAGAAATCTAAATAGTAAGCATTCTGACCATGCAACCAGTAAGTAAGCATACAAAGAATCAAAATTTTCGCTTACACTGGAGATAACAGCTCTTCAATCAGCCTTTCTTGATCTCGAAAACATTGTAGAGAGGTCATGGTAGAGAATATGTCTGGATCAATATCAGCACGTGTTGGAATGATAGCAGTTTGCACAGCTTGAGTCATTGGTAACTCCAGAGGTAACGGTGTGTTTTGGTCACTAGAAATACAATAAAATAATGATTATGATAAAATTAATAACACTTTATAAAACACTAATGCCTAATATAAAACTATCTTTAATAGAACCTATTTCAAATAACCTTAATAAAGTTGAATTATGATTTCGTCCATTGCATAGTGGATAAGAGACGACACAAGACGTAAAGAGTAATTCAAATTTGATAACAAATAAGAGTGAAATATAGTTACTTTTACTGTTTACTCCGAAACTTCTTTTGAGGATCTGGTATTATCGACCCATAGAATACTGAAAATATCTTGGACTACAAAACTGCATTACAAGATAGTCACACAGAGTGACTGATACTACGAGAAATTCAGATAAACTTTCAAACAAGGTTGGTGCAATATTTGTTTAACCAACTGAAGGCTAAGTCATATATAGTGAAGCAAGTTGTATCAACCCCCATCATAACTTTAAACTTCAGCTTTCAAAACAATTAGACACTTCAAATTTCACTGTCGGTAAACATTATAAGCGAATAAATGCGATGTTATTGTGACCACCAGTAACCTACGCCTAAAACTTCTTTTCTCCATAAAAGCTTTTTAAGTGACAAGCAATTGATGAAAACTGGACTAATCAAATGTAATATGATATCCGTAACTGAAATACATATAAACACATTACTCAAAGCCAAAGATAAGTAAAGTAATAATCGCAAAATAACACTAGTCAGGTGCAGTAGGACCAAAAAAGTACATGTAAGTGAGCTAAATACATTTTCTGACCTCGATGTCTAAGAACAAGATAATTCATGGTGAATATCCTTGATGCATCATTGTGACTTCAACAGATTGATATGGATCGGATAATTTCAAGATATCAAGTGAATGAAAGAAAAGCCAAGGAACCTTATTCATTTAGGTTTCAGTGAGCTTCATAAACGTACATATGAAATTAGTATAACGATGAAGGGAAAATGGTATTCAATCAACGAGAGTAATGAAGCATAAAGGCAACAACCAGTGTCATCCTCTAAACATTTTAGGCCAGCAGCTGCCGTAATGTTGATTGGCTGGCATGAATAAAAAATATTTCTTTAAAGACAGAATTTTTATAGCTTTAGAGAGTTACGACCATACTCTGAGAACCTTAGAGTCTGTGATAGAAAGCTATAGAAAAACAGAAGAATATATAGTTTTTAGGATCAGTTTCGCCTAACTAATCCTCCCAGAGCATAAAATGCAGAATAGCTGAAGTGCTGGTTACCCGAATTAAACGTGCTACCGCCATTACTCTCCTATCCAGCTGACAATACTGATTCATCACCAAATGCCTAGAAGTTACATATACCACGAATGTAATTCCATCTAGTTTTACCGCTATGCAACATATTTTGCTGGTAGAACTTCCGAAAGTAATCGTGACAATCAGCATAAGTCATTGCTATGTACAAAATGATCATCAAATTAAGGCGGCAGCCATCTCTGTTGGTCAGATTAGATTCCGTAAGTCTTGGGCTTTTTAGTTAGGTTCCTCAAGATATTAAAAACTGATAGTTTGCGATTCTCCGCGAAATTTTTATTTTCTTTTCTCTCTCTCTTTCTCGCCCCGTAACTTGTTCAGTTTACACTAGCATCATCCTAATTCTGTTTACCTCATGCCTACGGACAATTTAGAAGTTTAGTAACTTAAAATGACTCCCCATTGTAGCACAATTTACGTTTGCCTTTCATTTGTAGCCTTGTTTATCCGAATTGACTTCTACAACAGATATTAGTTTTCAAAATTAGATAATGAGTAAATTAAAGGGAAAAATTTTTGACAGTTCATAAATTAATTGTTATATATATATATATATATATATATATATATATATATATATATATATCAATTCTAAGGTAATTCTAAGAAAAATAATCACTAAATACTTTAACAAAAGTATATCATTTAATTAATGAAGGTCAAAAAATTGATTTTTAAAGAAAAAAACTTGATATTTAGTAGACGGACATTTGGGAACATTTCACTAGGTATTTTTCAAACAAGCGTTGCACCTATATACACGAGAGAAAATAATTATTTTACCTTTGACCCTAGATACCTACCTAGGTAGCATTTCACAAGACCACGCCAAACAGACTAAGAAACAAGACAAATGTAACAAACATCAACGACCTTATGTGGACAAATTATTGGTTTGAAATCCACTTTTTACTGAACAACATTTCTACGTATTCAAGGATAAAATTAGAATATTAGAAACTTTTTTCAAAGCTACCACATGCCGAGAAGTTGTAGTGTTTCTAATTGAAAACTAAGAATGTGCATATGCGTGCATGTTTGTTATTTTTGTAACTGTGATTGTAATAAGGTTGTTGGCTACATAAGATTTGATAAACAGCTGTTGTACAAAAATAAAGGATTTACATAACAGAAATATTGACACATTTGTAGTCTTGTAAAAGAATAAAAAGAACAAAAGAAAACAAAAGTCATTTTCCCAATAAAAATATTGAAATGTATTAAAAAAGATGAAAATCTTATGCAATATTAGTCACCACTTTAAAGACAACTCACAAAAGATGAAACTTATGTTTTTAAAATATCCGGAAAAACATACTTGAAGCTAAATCCATCGTTAAAATCTTATACCATGCCATCTGACTAAAATAGGCTTCGGGAAATGGAGTGAAATTTAAACACCAGATATTCGGTTAGACTGAGACATAGCTCAGAAAATGCAAAAAATGGCATCGTACGAGACGCTACCTGTAGAACACCGAAAGGTGGTTCAAAAAATCTTCTACTGGAATACAATCAAACAATTTAAAGATTAATGTTTTTCTTCCTTAACTTGGGGTATCTGAACCCAATCTCAGAAGGTATATTAAAATAATTACAACTTAACTATTTGAAAACAGGAAGAATATGCTTTTCACGAATTCATACTGATTTATCCACTTTTATGTTATAGATTTACAATCAACACCGATATTCATCAGTCACATTCAAAGTCTCACTTAACTCTGTTATCTATAGAGACAATAATCACTGATATATTAATGAAGGATAGTAGCCAGCAGCGGAATCCAGATCATGCGTTTCATTCTATTTGGGACTCATTAGCTAGATGAACCTGCTTCTCAGTGAGTTGTCCCCACTGGAACTCGAACTAGGAACCGATGGGTTCAAGCGCCAGAGCATTATCCACTACATTACCAAGCCAAGATAGCCACTTCTTGTGCGATGGGTATAGTTTTAACGTTGTTGCTTGTATTATACCGTCGCTGATTGGACCGAAATGATCCGTCTTTACTGGCATATGGGCTCCTGCGCCGAGGTCTCAACATTGCTTGTATTTCAGTTATATATTAATAACGGAAACGCGCGTCCTGGATTACACTTCTAGCCACTATCCATCATACATGCATAACTGAAACACAGGCAATATCGAGGCATCCACGCAGGAGCCCATATGTCCATATGCAAGATATCTGAACCCTACTAAAAAAAAGAGTATACTGCACTGCACTTCGTTCTGTCCTGCTCTTCGACTGAGAGACATGACCGTTAAAAGTAGAAGACGTGAAGCAGTTACAGGGTTCTGATCAACAGATGTCTTCGTAGCGTTGCTCACGTTTGTCGAAATCACCATGTGAGGGATGTTGAGGTCATGTGAAGGGCACTAGGCATAACAGGCATGTCGATTGATAAGGTTGTGAACCTCAGTCGATTGAGATGGTGCATGTCGAGCCACTGCCTATATCGACTTGCCATGCTAGTGAAAGTTGGGTTATGTTGGAAAAGAGTTCAGGATGACAAGACCAAGATCTAGGACCGGTCACTGGGGTCCCTGATTGTTGTTCTGAGTCGTGTGAGGAGATGTAGACTACGTGGCTGTTATCGCTACGGTGATAGGAATCAGTAGTTGAGGACTCTTGATGACATGGTTGGAAATCGGTCACAATGGTGCAGATTTACTCACTCTATGATGTCGTCTGAAGCTTGAATGTTTTGGGTAACCTTAATTTGTAAACTTGCTCTCCTCTCATACAGCTTTATCTCCTTTGATATGAGTATTTCTTATCTACTTGTTTTTTGGATACAACTATGAAGTGTGACAACTTGAACTGATACACTCATGTGCGAGAATCTACGTTGGTTTTATTTGTGAGTCTGTCTGACTTGTAGCTTACACGAAGATTGTATCAGTAAAGAAGTAAGAAATGAAACAGATGAAACAGGTGAATAAATAGTTCTACTATTTTTAATGGTAATATTATAGCGTTAAAATCATATACGATATAATAATCAACTCCCTGCTTCAAGACTTCGGATAAGCAATAAATAAAACCAGAGCTAAATAAATAGTGCTAGTTGAGGTAGAAAGAAGTATTGAATAGATGGTGAAACAAAAATTACTTCAAGAAACGAATGTAGATTATTCTGCAGTAAGTGAAATTACTAAACATCATAGTTACAATAATGATCTCATTCGAGTTTCCATAGTAACACCAAGATTCATTGAAATTCAAGTAAATCTAACTAAAAAACCTTGGATGGAATGGTATAAACGTGCAAGAATCCAGTGAATTTCACAGCGAAATATCATCTAAATATAAGCAACAGTATAATAGATGAATTCATGAAAAGATTTGATTATGGCAACCTATGTAGGACTAATGTATCTTCATCCTCAGTGGAGCATCTGAATGCTTTTCAGAGACACAGTAAGGTGTAGTTCATCCTAATCAATTCTATCTATTTAATATGAACTTTTTGAAAAGAAGACACGAATTTATTTAGTGTCTTCAAAGCACTGCTCATATGTAACCAAATCACTAGGTGAACAATTCTAAGGCTGAATTTATAGTGACGCTTGCAGAATATGGGTAGCTGATGAAATTCTGAAACTTCAATAACTAAATTGGCTGAAGTACATACTAAGTATTTAGAGCAAAGAGCCATGAAATGCAATAGTAGGTGAAGTAGGACGAGGTTGTAAGAGAAGGGAGGAGTGGTCAAACTTG